GCCAAGGTTTTGTATCGAACCTAGGCGAACAATGTGCGTGGCTGCCCTGTACGTTGCTGTTCGCTAGGGTGCTTCGGGGCTCCTCCCGAGGAGCTTGGGGCGGGTCGACTGGGGTGGTCGGTCGGTCGGTCAGCGGAGCTTAGGGAGGTAGGCACCGTCGGTCGGCCAGGAGTTCAGGCGCTGTCAGTGCTTTCCCTGGCCGTTTCCCTGTCACTCCAGTCCACCATCCACGTTCGTCGTCAAACAGTTCCCCTCTTTAATAGCCACGTATTCGTCTACGAGGCTCACAGTTCTGTGTTGCCGATGACCCCAACTCTGACTGACGCCTCTGCCCCCCCTCCTGCCGCCTGCCGCCATGGCGAGATCAATGTGTGGGTATATGGCCTGGGACCCGATACAGACTGAACGTTCCTGTCCAGCCCACCCTCCATGACCGAACCCTTATCGAGCGCCGCATCCAGCCTGGCTTGGCTGTCACCAATGGGGGCGCCCAGATGAAGCAGCAACTGTGCCAGCGACCACCACATCTACCAGGATCACGTTGAAAGCTTGCAGAGGCCACCATGGCCAAAGGAGCAAGACGGACCGACGTCAAATTACGCCACGATGCTATTCAAGCGCAAGAGTCAGTCCCGGCTGAGAGGGTTGGTCACGATAGGGAAAATGTCGAGCCCTGGCTGGCTGAGGGTCCTGCGAACTAGAGGGCCGCCTCGACCCCATCGACGCCGGCTGGCGCAGGCGACGGACCACGCTTGGCCCAGCGCCGGCCCAGGATCCCCGCGCTCGTGGGCAGGCAGAGCCAGGGGGTTGGAACGGAAGGTTTCTGCTGAATGGGCAAATGGTTTGATGTCAAGTGACCACAAATCCCAGGAAACAGAAGTTCCCAGGAACTAAGCTTGGCTGAGACGGGCAACGCGAGGGGCGGGTGACCTCTACTTTGCGCAAATGCCATGCCAGGGCCAGCCTTGCAATAGTCCAGCCAGCTTTGGGGTTCATTCGAGGCTCGGGTCACATGCTCTGTGGTAAAGGGTGGGACTCGGCGGAACGAAGGCCTTGCTGCAGTGCAACGAGAATGAGCCCGCCCGGTGGCACATCACCCTGGGGGATGCCCGTCTCTACCGTGCAGGCCCCTTCGCCGATCGGAGCCATCGGCCTTGACGGCCTACATCCGCGTGGCTCGTCGGGGTATTGCAGCAGTAGTATCCTTATTTTACTGGTCGTGACACTGCTCGAAAGGCCACACGATCGGACCAGCTCAATCGGCTCGGAGCGGTGGCCTCGGGCCTTCCCTGTTGTCGGCCTTGGCCATATGCAGATGTCTTCGATAATCACCTTGGCATCAGCGGATTTCTGGCCCGCAGTGCGGTGAAGGATTCCTCAAGAGTTTGCGGTTTCGTCGGGGTGATCAATCTGGGATGCCATGTTGGTTTCGCATCTTAATCATCAGGCCAAACCCACTGACCATACCTTATTTTAAGACTACTGTCCCATCGTGTGATTCTTTCACCGCGGTCGAGCCCCTTGGGAAATGATCTGGGCCGAGGATGGGCGAGGTACACGTTGACGTTTCGCCGCTCGCTTCAAAACTCGTATCGTTGGCTATTTTGCCACCTTGTTGGTGTTCAAGAATCACGAGCTCCGAATGATCAATTGAGCAGCACTACGGTCTGGAGTGCTGATGTAGGAGTGAGACAGACACGGGCGAGAGAGCGGTTCGTTTAGCAAAACAAATCAGACTTTTGGCAGAAATTTTGCTTGATACACGTTTAAAAGGCGGATTGCCGATCCCAGTGCAGTTGATCACATCACCATGCGCAGTGCCTTACCTCATCAGCCACACTGCCAATGAAGGCATACCCAGGGTACAGCTGACGTGGACACAGCGCACAGCGATGAGTGCTCGGTTCTATAATTAGGTAGGAGCGTCCGCCTTGTTGGCTGTTGCCTGGGCGGTGGTGTGGTGGATGAGTGACAAGCCGCACTCAATCAACCTGTGGAGGGGGCTTAGCAGTGAGGTGGGGCCAGCAGAAAGCCGTCCACACAGCACCCGCAGCACCACAGCAGCAGGCGAAAAGGCCAGGGGGATAGGCACCAGACAGACGGGCACAACAGCAGCCGAGAAGGGGAGAATGAGCTGTGGTTTGCGGCTCAGCCTCTCGGGGATGACGAACGGGGGCTGCTTGTTTGAGGGGTCAAGACTGCCGTCTGCTTGAGCTGCCAAGGCTGGTAGGAGATTCCCGTGTCGCGGTCTTGACTCGGCACCACGCAAATTGCCTTTTCGGGCTGCGCAGCGTGTGTTTGTCACGGGTGAGAGGTAGGGGGAGCAGAGGCTTAGGGAGACGACGACGACGGTGGATCAGAGCTCGACTCAGGCTCTTCGGCAATCGCGATGGTCTTGAATTGTTGGGAGAGGGTGAAGGTAGGAAGGATCAAGCTGGATCAAGCAAGTGGGCGAGCGGCGGATGCGTGAGGATGCCAATTCGTTTCCCATCTTACTGTCAGCAATGAGAATAGTCAGCATGGAAAAGAGTCAGCATTATGCCGTGCTGGCTGCGAAAAATGCAGGCTTGGCTTGGCTGGCTCAAGGCATAGCATCTTGGGCTGAGAGCCACTGTTTCAGCTTGCTGCTTTTGGTGGTGACGGTTCACTGGGAAATGGCCACAACAAGTGATGGCTGATCTAGGAAAGATGGCTGGTGAGGGATGACGCAAGTACTTCCCCACGTCGAGGACCGCAGACTGTACTTGTTACGTCGTGACGCCTCATCGAAGACCCCTCTCAGCCAGGATGTGCTCTCCACTGCCGGGCTCTCTACCTCTCTACTAGCCAGCGGGTACTAGCCAGCGGGTACGCGTATGGGCCATCTTCGCAGGTAGCTGCGACGGGCAATTCTGCCCACAGGTACCTAAGGTAGGTACCGCGATGGTGTAGCAGTGGTGTGCACAGCATTGGGCGTTGGAGAGAGGCTTGCTGGGGCTGAGTGTTGGCTTGAGTGGAGACGGCCCTCACTGGAGAGCTCCCGGGGCCCCTGTCTATCACTGCCCATCAGTGGAGCGAAACCAAAGAGCTCACTCGCTTTGCCCGCCTGCGCCACTCGGTCGTTTCCCAGGGCCGCGTAAGGTGCAGCCCATCCCGCCCTTCCTGCCATTCCCATGGATCGATGGCCCAGTATAAGTAAATGCGTTGTTGCTGTTGCTAACATTCCTGTACCGCCATCTACCTCTCGTCTCTCATCTTCACCCCGTCCCCCCTTTCGACTGTGAATACTCCATTCGATACCATCAGACGCATCGGTATTCGATATCTCTCGCTACAACAACCCATCAACACTTGCATTCGCTACAAGTGCCACCCTCGCTCGACCACCCATCTACCACCACACCAGACGAGTACCACCCTCGTCACCCCGAACAACCAACCCCCCACAAGCAACACAACACATCAGATCAGCCTTACAACCTTAATTATGGGTGTCGGTCGCTTTCTCTGCGTGGCTCTGCCGTTTATACTGTCCACGGCATCCCTCATCTTCCTCCTCATCGCCTGTCTTGGCGGTGTCTCCAACAAGGACCTGTACATGTTCCGCGTGAACGCGACAAAGCTCGAGATCAACCCCGCCGACTTTAGGGACATTGTATCCGATATTCTCTCTCGCGATGTGCTGCCCGAGGTCAACGTTGTCGCTCGCCAGGACGCTTCCGATATTGAGGGCGCTGTTGGCGACGCTCTGACGAACAACATCACGGCCAAGGCCCTCGGCCTCGACAACGTCTACGATGTTGCGCTCTGGGGCTACTGCACGACCGACAACAAGGGCGACCGCAGCTGCACCGATCCCCAGTTTGACTGGGCCCACAAGCAGCTCAACACGTCTTTTATTGAGGGCGTCGGCGATGTCGCCGGTCGCCGCGTCGAGCTTCCCTCGGAGGTCGAGGACTCGCTGAAGCTCTTCAACACGGTGGTCAAGTGGACTCAGGTCGCGTACGTCGTCGCCTTCATCTCTCTGGCGCTGTCTGTCATCTTTGGCATCTTCGCCAACTGCACGCGCGTCATGTCTTGCGTCACCTTCCTCGTCGCGCAGGTGGCCTCGATCGCCGTCGTCGCCTCGGCCGCCCTCTCCACCGCCATGTCCTCCATTGTCGTCGGCGCCATCAAGGGTACGGGCAGGTGGTACGGCGTGGATGCCGGCTTCGATACGACGTTCCTTGCACTCGTCTGGATCTCGGCGGCGTGCGCTCTCGGTGCCGGTTTCTTCTGGATGTTCACCATCTGCTGCTGCGCACCGAGCCACAACTCGCGCGATCGCAAGAGCCGCAACCGTGGCTCGACCGACGCCGAGAAGCTCCTGCCCGGTGGCAACTCGTACCAGCCCCTCGCCTCGCCCGCGAACCAGGGCTTCTACAACCCCCAGCAGCCGACCTCGTTCGGCGCCCCTCACGCTACTCGCGAGATGGCGTACGAGCCCTACTCGCATCGTCAGTAAAACATGACGGTGGAGCGACGTGGTTTCATGGCGTTTGCGGCTCGAATTCTCTTTTTCTTCCTCACGATAAGCGATGAACGATGGGTCAGAGACGTTCCAGATGGGACAGACTACATAGGATAGGTCATGGAAATACCCAGACGGGTGGATGAAGCCTTGGCGGTACTAGAATATTGATGAAGTAATGATTCTACAAACATACATTTTGAGAGATGAAGTGATGCTCATGGCTCGTCGTCGTGCTATGTTTGACTGCGTCATGGAAGAGAACTGGATCTGGAAGGTGGGGCTCCCATGACGGGCAGGCACTCGATGAGTCGAACCGACGAAAATCTCCAAAAACCTCAACTCCTTTCAGCGTTCAGCGTTCAGCGTTCAGCGTTCAGCGTTCAGCGTCCAGCCGGTGAAGAGCTCCAATTTTGCTTCATCAACACAATTACGTCTCATGTATTGATGCTCTACATACTCTTCTCCCTCTCCTTTGTCTCATTCATCTGTGCTAGCGGTCCGTCGCTAGAATTTACCCCGCCACAGCTACGGTCAGGTTCATGGAGGGGCAATCCACCAAACCACCCACCATGAGCACCTCAGTATGAGCCTCGAATGATGGACCATTCTTCGCCAAGACACTGACAAATCACAGTATCCCCTCCAGAGGACATCCCTTCTGGTTCCCATCACCGCCCTCGCCTTCTTGTCATCCTCCATGCCAACCCTCCTTGTCGCGGAAGACAACCTCCTTAAAGCCTACGACACATCAACACACACCCTCCGCCTCACCCTCCGCGTCTTCCACGCCCAGACCATCCACGGCATCGTCATCAGCGGCGACCTCATCCTCCTATGGGGCAACCAATCCGTCACCGCCCTGCCCACCCCCGCCCTCGAGGCCGCCCTGACCGGCGGCGGCGAACCCCCCGCGCCCCTCGCAGAAGCCAAAGCCCACGACTGGCTCTTCAGCGCCGCCGTCTCGCCCGCGGGCCGCATCGCCTTCGTGACGGCCCACAACGAGCTCCTCGAAGCCACCTACGACGCCGCGGCCCACAAGCTCGTCCTCGGCCGCATCGTCGCCCCCGCGCGTCCCGGCCTGTACGCGGCCAGGGCGGCGTGGACGGCGCCCGCGACGCTGCTGGTCGCGGGCGGCACGGCCTTTGGCGAGATTGTCGTGTGGACGTGCGAGCTGCCCGCTGCCGGGCCGCCGAGCTGCGAGGTGCTCTCCGTCTTTGCGGGGCACGAGGGCTCCATCTTTGGCGTGGACATTTCGCCCGAGTTTGAGGGTGCCGGGGGGCCGCCGGGAGAGAGGATGCGCTTGCTGGCGAGCTGTAGCGATGACCGGACGATCCGGCTGTGGGATGTCTCCAAGGCGTCGTTGGAGAGGGGCGTCGTGCGGGCTTCGTTTGGGGAGGCGCGCGAGACGGGGTTTGGCAGCGTTGACCTCTCTGCTGTGGCGGATGCGTCGAGTGCCCCGGTTGCGGTGGCCATGGGGCATGGTTCGCGGATCTGGCATGTCAAATTCGCGGGGCATGGTCTTGGCTTCGACAAGGGCCAGGTCGTGATGCCGGTCTATTCGTTCGGGGAGGATGCCACGGTGCACAAGTGGCGGTTGGAGGTGGATGTTGCGGCGTGGCAGGCGAGGAGAGCTTCTGCCGAGGCAGGCGACGGAGGCGCGGGAAAGCTTATACTGCGAGAAACGTTTGCACACCACGACGGGAAGCACATCTGGGCGGCAGCTGTTGAGCCCCTGAAGCAAGGGGGCTCTCTGATCGCCACTGGAGGTGCGGATGCGAGAGTCAACCTCATCACCGACGATGTAGACACGACAGCGAGCGGCGAGGGAAGCAACGGGCTCGATACGCTTCCGAGTGAGCTTTCCCAGCTCGTCTTTGAGGACATCCTACGTCGGCTGCCGCCATCAAATCAGGAATACCCGCCACCTTCGAGGAAACGGCCCGAAGGATTTCAGAACTTTGTCTTCATCTCTCAGAATACGTTGCTTGCTGCAAGCACCAGAGGAAGGATCCTCTTGGGAACGTTTGGGGCAGATCTATCGTGGGAAGAGATTTCTTACGAAGGCCAACACGGTCGCGACCTGGCATTCTGCACTACAATCAGGAGTCCTGCCCCTGGCGTAGCCATCTTAGGGACGGCCACGAAGAAGCTGTTCCTGTACAAGGACTCGACGGTCAAGGAAATCACCATCATGAACGGCAAGATCTCCGACATCTTCGTCGTCAAGCCACTCAGTGACGATAGCCCTTTGGTGGCGGAGCTTCTCGTTATGATGATAGGAGGTCCAGACGTTATGCAGCTCCTGACGGTCGACATATCCTCCGTCACCGTTACCTCCAGCCTTTCTGTCCCCGGTCAACAAGCTAGCTACGTCGCGACAGCAGCCCATCTAGTCGGCGATGTTTTGATCATTGGCTCTCGCCATGGTCACATCTCCCTCTTTCAACGCTCTCCTACTGAATTGACGCTTCAATCACCCATCGTTCGTCATACAGTAGACACGATCACTTCGATCATCTCCCTCCCGACCTCTCTCAACGGAGAAACCCACCTCCTCATCACAGCTCGCGACGCTCACTACCGGCTCTACGCTCTCCTCTCATCCCCCAAACCCCACCTCACACTCCTCCACCAGACGCATGTGCCATCCCTCACCACCATTGAATCAGCCCACTTCTCCCCCGACCACGACCTCCTCCTGACGGGCTTCCGCAGCAGGCTCTTCACCCTCTACAACGAAACCACCCGCCGCGACATCCACACCCACGACGTCGGAGGCCCCAACCGCATCTGGTCCGCCCCAGCCCCCGCCTCCTCCCCGCTCCGCATCGCCTACGCCAGGGCAGGCATCCTCCTCCTCAAAACCCAGCACCACCCGCCCCACGAGGTCCTCAAATCCGGCACCCACGGCCGCGAGATCCGCGCCGTCGCCTGCGCCAACGGGCCCTACCTCGCCACCGCGAGCGAGGACACCTCCATCCGCCTCTGGCACGACGGCCGCTGCGTCGCGAGCCTCAAGAGCCACCGCGCCGGCCTCCAGGGTCTGCGCTGGCTCGCCGACCGCGGCGACGGGGCTCTGCTCTTCAGCTGCGGCGGCAATGAGGAGTTTGTCGTGTGGAGGGTGCGGCGGCTCCCCGGCGCCGGCGCCGCCTTCTCTGGCCCGGCCGTCGTGCGGGAGGCGGTGTGGGCGGATAAGAGCCCCGATGGCGATCTGCGCATTCTCGACTTTGACATCACTGCCGGAGAAGGAGGCGTCGTCGTGAGCATGGTTTTCTCAAACTCGACAGTGGGCACGTATCTCTACGACGGTGGCCAGTTCACACTCCTGGCCAAGGGACGGTACACCGGTGCTTGCTTGACGAGAGTGAGACATCTCCGCGTAGACGGGCGCAGAGCTCGAGATCGGAACGGCAGCCACGGACGGCCATCTCGGCGTCTGGATCGCGCAAAGGGGCGAACCGGGCGCTGCGGGGGAATACGCCCTCCCAGACGACGGCAAGGCTGCACCAGAGCTCCGTCAAGGCGCTGGACATGAGCACTCTCGACCACGACGGCGCGGAGATGCGCCTCCTCCTGACCGGCGGCGACGACAACGGCCTCGGTATAACTGTGCTCCAGCGGCGGGCTGGCGAGTACGAGTTCGTCTCCAAGACGGGCGTCAAGGGCGCTCATGCGGCGGCTATCAACGGCCTCGCGATTCTGCAGACGGCGCCGCTGAGCGCGGAGAAGCAAGCGCGGCGGACGACGTTTGCTACGGTTAGCAACGACCAGCGCGTGAAGGTGTGGTCCCTAAGATGGGGCCTGACGGAGCATGATGAGGCGCAGCTCACTCTGTTGGCGAACGAGAACAGCGGTGTTGCAGACCCAGGCGATCTTGATGTTCTTGACGGGGCTGAGGAGGAGGATTTTAGAGAAATTGTAGTTGTGGGTGTCGGCATGGAGACCTGGCGTTTTGATCTCGCAGGAAAGGGAACATTACGTAGATCTTAGATATCCTTGATGATAGACAAAGGTAGTAGACAATCCAGAAGTTAGAGCCATCATAATAATGGAATTGTGATACCAATCACTCGTCATGTCTTATTATAAACCATGGCGGCATCTTCAACTAGAGTGCTGGAGTCAAAATCATTGTCAAGGCTGTGCCATGCATAGTAAAAAGACATGTCACCACTCGCAGCGGAATCCAAATGAAATAAATCGTCATTGAGCGTCTCGCCCATGAAGGGTATCCAATGCCTAAGTAAGCAAAATGAAAACAACCACGCTATGCAGCTTCCCCTATCGAGGAGGCACGGCCTCCGCAACCCCCCTCGTGATATTTGGTCCTGTTCCGATTCCCGTTAACGTCCTCACGAACCAGTGCAGCCACCCCTCCGTCTCCAGCGTGGCCTTGAGCTCCTCCGCGCGCGCCTCGACATCCTCAACCTGGCGTTCGAAAACCAAGACGCCATCTTCGACGTCCCCAACCTTGCCGCCAAGCGCATTGACCTCGTAATCGAGCCGCGCGGCGAGAACCTCAACCTCCCGGATGGCCTCGGTGAGGCGCCCGCGCTCGGAAGCAATAAGTTCGGACGAGCCCTGCTTGACGCGCTGGTAGGCTTCAGAGAGTTGATAGTAGAGGCCCTGGATCTCCTCGTGCTCGCGCGTGTAGTGCGCGTCAAGAGCTTCAATGGCCTCAACCTTTGTGACGACCCAGGGTGATAGGTGGTTGCTAATCGAATGGATGGAGCCATACAGAGCGCGGGCCAGCTCAGCGACACCCGCCTGCTGCTTGAGGGCGACGAGGGGGTCGTGGGGCGGGGCGGTGTCAGGGAGCAGGCTTGTGATCTCCTCCCAGCGCAGCACTGCCTCCTCTGCATCGCCAAAGGAGAGGCGACGCGGCCAGCGTGCTTCGCTGATCGCCGGTCTGCGGGATGGCGTGAAATACTCGATGCTGTGCCGGCGCTGGAGAAATGCTGCCTCGATGTTTTCGCCTCGTTCTGCCTCAAAGGGTCCAAGTAGATCAGTCTCAATGGTCGAACCGACGACCGACGGGTGGGCGTCGTCGTTGTCTTCCTCCTTGATCGGCTCACTGACGGCGTGGCTCCATTCGCTGCCGACACGTGAGGGCGGGTCTACAACTTGCTGGTCATCGTCTCCCTCGGCTGCGCCCTTCTCGGTTTCGTTAGCCTGCTCCGCCTCCTTCTTGAACGAGTTGAGGTATTCCTCCGGCTTGTTTTTCCAGGTGAATGCTCTGTTAATCCCCACCGGGGGAGGTGATAGTGCTGAGTTTTGTTGGAGTGCCGACGTGCTCGGGGTCGCATACCCTCCATCAGAGAAGTCATCCCTGCTAGGCCGGCTGGCGTGGCCTCTCCGACTGCCACCTATGGTATCTTTGATACGCCCGAGTCCAGACCGGGCGTCGCTGACGCGGCCAGCCACGCTCTTGAACACGCCCCTCCGCGATGGGTCCTTCTCCCCCAAGACGGCATCATTCATAGTCGCAGCCTGAATAGGGGTTTGAACAGGGTGTAGGGTATTCGCCGGTTCCTCTTTGGTACGCTGGACCTCCTCCTCCAACGGCAAAGACTGCACCCTCCTGCTGGGCGTCACGGCGCCCTCCTTGGCCTCCTTTTCGCCAAAGAGAATGGCGCTCATGTCGGGCGTCTTTTCGTTGGATTCGAGCGCCGTCCTCTTAGGCTTGCCGAGCCAGAGCCATTTGGCACGTTCGCCGGAGACCAGGTCGACGAATTTCGTAATGTCCAGTGTCTCAATATCGCCAACGGCGCCCTTGTCCCGCCCGCCGACCAGGCCGATGACGAGCTCGCCTCTCTTTCCGCCGATTTCTGCCACCGTGGACTTGACGGCCTTTTGGACGCCCCAGCCCTCGCCCGCTGCGGCCTTGGCCGTGACGCTGTGGAGCTTGAGAATGGTCTGGCGGTCCAGCCGCCTCGTCTTTTCCAGCTTCTGCGACCTCTGGAACCACGAAATGCCTCGCTTCGTGCAATCAATGTCGAACACGTCCTTGGCGACTGGCGCGCCCAGGTAGTGGAGACGATTCCTTGCGCCAGCCAGCATGCCGAGCAATGCAGCCACAGTCGTCGGGCCGAGGATGCCGTCAGTGGGCTCGATGTTGTAGTATTCGGCGCCGACTTCAGTCCACCAGTTGCCGATGGCAGTTTCCGTCTTGTCACAAAGCAGGCCATCGACGTACTCAAACTCGAGTTTGCCAAACAAGAATAGCGCCGTCTGACAGAGCTTGACGAGTTCCAAGACCGACTCGAAAAAGGGCGGGCGGTCGCTCGTTCGGAAGAGCTGATAGAATTTGGCCTGGGTGGCCGGCGTGGGATCAGTCAAGGACATGCCAGATCTGCCAGAACAACCCAGACGCTTGAGATCCTCATTGACGATGAAAAGCTTTCGGTGGGTTCGAATATCGCCATCGGGAACAGGAATGACGGTCAAGGCCGAAGGGAAACTGCTGAGGTTCGTCACCATGAGCTCGCCTTCGCCTGTCTCCTTCGGTCGTGCGTGGTACTGCTGGATGGACTTAAAGTACAGCCGCAGCCGGGGTGACCAGGCGGTCTCGTCCGCGGGAACCCCCAAGACTCCTGCCACGACTGTGTGTCGCTCATCGCCTGTGTACGTGACTATGACGAGGGTTGGAGACTCGCGGGAGCATGCCCACTGTTCGACCAGATATAATTCGTATCCACGCAGTACCCGTCGTCGCTCAACAACCGTGACGGCCGGGTCGTCTTCGAGGTATCTGGAATCAATGTCAGACATGCATCAGGAGAGTTGTGGGCTTTCAAGGCCTACCTAAAGGCCACGGGGTCGGCAAAAATCCATCTCTTTTGTGGAAGTGGTGCTGGGGCAGACGTGGCAGAATCGCCCGAAGCATCCTTTCTCGAGCTCGCAGATCCATTGGCCTCAGCCCCGGGAGCCGTACGGGCATTTCGCGGCGAAGAGTTGACTCGGGCCAGCGTGATCTCCTCCTCGCGGTGTGACCATGGGTCAGGAGGGACTGGGAAAGGGAATCGAAACGACATGGTTTTGCAGCTTCAGGCAAGGCGTTGCCTTTGGCATGGTGACTATTGCACGATCATGAGGGTGTGTAGGCGAGTATGCCGTCGTCTAGTTGGCTCGAGTCGAAGGCAGCCGTGGGCCGAGGTGCAGAAAGCAGGATGCGAAAGGCGATTGACAATGATGGTCGTTGGTGTTGGCTCTCTGCCAACGTGACGCAATGTCGGCACCATGTGATGGGGACCCTCCAGCTTCAGCCACGCATTAGCACTGCCACATTCTACGAGTGAAAGAAGGCCATCCAGGTTGGGTACGTACATATACATGTACTTGTCTTAAACGGGCCTAGCAGGAATGGCCCGCCTTTTCGTCCCTGCATTGCCTTGATCTATCTCTCATGTCGTACAAGCATTATTTATTCGTGTTGGGGGATGATGTCTACCAGTGAGAAACAGACTGTGCTTTTTTACAACAAAGTTAAAGTCGGGAGCAGCTGAGGAAGGTTGGCTTCGCTGAAATAGCGCTAAAAGCCAACGGTCTACCTGCTTTGGTTGGAGAGACTACAGGACCTTGTTAGCTTTGGCACATGAGGTCCTATACCTACCTGGCAATACTAAAGAACCAGCTTACCCAATTCTTCAGCTTGGCCGTGGCACCAGACCCAAATGCCCCTCATTCGCATGCCACAAGCCAAGTACTAGCCGTAAAAGCGCCTTCTTCAGACCCTCGACCCTCGACCCTCGACCCTCGACCCCTGCTTGACGTAGCTGTGACACATCGCTGTCGCATGTCCAGCCCAGCTCCAGCCCATCTCTTTAGCCAGCGCAGCTGACGCGCTTTCTTCCTGGAAACAAAACACTTTTTGGTTGTCTTCCTGCAGTCGTCAAGATCGCCATCATGGATTTCAACAGCTCGTCACCCTACCCGGCGGGCGTAATTTCATTTCTGGATACTGATTTGTACAAGCTGACGATGCAATGTGCCGTCACCAAGTATTTCAAGGATGTGCCCGTAACTTACGCCTTCACGAACCGAACTCCTGAGAAGAAACTCTCAAGGGAGGCTTTTCGCTGGCTCGAACAGCAGATCCAGAGTTCGTGACCCCTCTCTGTGTGTTTTTTTTTTCTTTTTTTCGCGCGTATTTGCGCCCAGAATGGTCGTACGACCCATGAGAAATCACGTTCGCGCCGCGGGACCCCGCGCTAACCCCGCCATACAGAACTCGGCAACATTTCCCTGACCGATGAAGAGCACCAGTTCCTCCAGCGTCACTGCCCTTACCTGACAGAAGACTACCTCAACTTCCTCAAGGAGCTGAGGTTGCGACCGCGCGAGCAGGTTACGACGACATTCACCCCCGAAGGCGACGACACGGGCGCAGACACCGATGTCGGCCATGTCGACATCAAGATCCAGGGCACCTGGTCCGAGACGATCCTCTACGAGATCCCCATGCTCGCCCTGACCTCCGAGGCCTACTTCCTCTTCATGGACAAGGACTGGACCTACGACGGCCAGGAGGACCGCGCCTTCGAGAAGGGCCAGCAGCTCCTCGAGGCCGGCTGCACCTTTTCCGAGTTCGGCACCCGCCGCCGCCGCGACTACCACACCCAGGCCCTCGTCTTCCGCGGCCTCGTCCGTGCCGACAAGCAAGCCGAGGCCCGCGGCTTCAAGGCCCGCCTCAGCGGCACGAGCAACGTCCACCTTGCCATGCGCTTCGGCATCCCCCCCGTCGGCACCGTCGCCCACGAGTGGTTCATGGGCATCGCCGCCATCACCGACGACTACCGCGGCGCCACCGAGGCCGCCCTGCGCTACTGGGTCGGCGCCTTTGGCGGCAAGCTCGGCATCGCCCTCACCGACACTTTTGGCACCCAGGAGTTCCTGCGCGCCTTCAGCCGCCCCGTCGACCCCGTCGATGGCGACGCCGGCGATTACAAGAAGGCAGACGGCTCCATCAAGACGTACGCTGAGCTGTTCGCCGGTGTGCGCCAGGACTCGGGCGACCCGACCGAGTACGTCGAGATGCTGCGCAAGTACTACGCCGACCAGGGCATCACGGGCAAGACCATGGTCTTCTCCGACTCGCTCAACATTGAGCGATGCCTCGAGTACAAGAAGATCTCCGAGGCCGCGGGTTTCGTGCCGACGTTTGGTGTCGGCACCTTCCTCACCAACGACTTCACCCGACTAAAGGACGGGTCCAAGTCGACGCCCCTCAACATTGTCATCAAGCTGAGCTCGGCGGCTGGCAGGAATGCCATCAAAATCAGGTCAGTTTTCTTTAGGCCTTTGTCTTGTCCTGGAGCTAATCTTGGTGCAGTGACAACTCGGGTAAGAACACAGGTGATAAGGGCACCGTGGAGAAGGTCAAGCAGGAGCTCGGCTACGTGGAGCGCGAGTGGAAGGGCGGCGATGAGACGTCGCGATGGGGCAAGGATGACGCCAAGCCTTGATGCCGCAGCATACATGCCTGCCGAGCGCCAAACCCGAGTGCTGCGGGCTACCACAGCACCGTATGCACTCTGTCTCGGTGCGGAAGCATCCAGTGACCTGGTCATTGCGGCGTTGGCCGTTGCGTTCATCGACCAAGCAAGCACGGCGCACTCTCGTCGCAAAAGACTTCTCATCCACCGCACGGAGTCAGCTCCATTGGGACGGGTGGCATCTTTCCCGTGGTGGCTCCGCAGCGTGAGTCGCTCAAGCGAAATCCGTCAGCCTGTCCGGATGTTGTCCAGTGTAAGCTGGCGAGAGACCAAGGCCAGGCCGATTAATCCTCAGAATCTCAGCTACCTGAGCGTCAGTTCGTCCATGGAATACTTGCAAACAGGATTATACCAGACAGCAGGCAAGGTAGTAGAGCTTGGCCCTTTTCTTAGAAGCGGCACAGACACAATGCTGTAGTTAGAGGCAGCTTGCACTGCTTGCCAATATAGAAATGTTGACAAAGCCAAGAACCAACCAGCCATAAAAAACATGATGCAGTTCGATGTCCAGCATCATGAATCCCTCAAAAAAAACCAATGCCGCGAGGCCGGGCAAGCCATGATCATGATCTGATATCCCTGGTGGTAGCAGATTCGGTTATATTAGCACACCGTAGGACCCCAGCCACATTTATCACGCGCCGTACTTCAATGTGGGGTGAACAATCGTAGTCCCACCCTCATGACACCGCCCGGCAGAAAATGTTCTCTCCGCCAAAATTTTGGATGGCAGCTCTCACAGAGAGTCGTCCAAGCCCATCGAGTCCCGCGCCTGGCTCTTGACCGACGAACTTCACCCAGACGCTGTCACGACCCAACAGCTCTGCACACCGCCAAGATGTCGCAAAAGCAGAAGCAGGTGTAGGTCTAGATGATTGCCCTTTTCCTCAGTCAAAATCGCCCTGACACACTCTATAGAGACTCGCGCATCCCCGCGCTCATCCGCAATGGCCTGCAGGAGAAGAAGCGAAGCTTCTTCGTCGTGGTCGGCGATCGCGGCAAGGACATCATCGTGAACCTGCACCACATCATGTCGCAGATGGAGCTCAAGCAGAACAAGTCGGTTCTCTGGGCCTACAAGAGCAAGCTCCTCAACTTCACGAGGTACGCTGGTCCCCGAGCATCCTATCCCTGGGGGGCCATGAACTGACAAGTCGCAATGCAGTCACCGACAGAAGCGAGAGAACAAGATCAAGAAGGAAGTGAAGCGCGGCATCCGCGAGGCCAACGACATGGACCCCTTCGAAGCCTTCGTCACCCTGCACAACATCCGCTACGTCTACTACAAGGAGACTGAGAAGGTTCTCGGAAACACCTTTGGCATGTGCGTCCTCCAGGACTTCGAGGCACTGACGCCCAACATTCTCGCCAAGACCATGGAGACGGTTGAGGGTGGCGGCCTCGTCATCCTGCTGCTCAAGGGTATGAACAGCTTGAAGCAGCTCTACAACCTGTCCATGGACGTCCACAGCCGGTACCGTACCGAGGCCCACGACGACGTCGTTGCCCGCTTTAACGAGCGCTTCATCCTGTCGCTCGGCGGCTGCGACTCTTGTCTTGTCATTGACGACGAGATGAACGTTCTGCCCATCTCTGGCGGCAAAAACGTTACGGCCCTGCCTCCTCCCGACCTGGATCAGCCTATGAGCGAAACCCAGAAGGAGCTGGACGGCATGAAGGAGTCGCTTCAGGATACCCAACCAGTCGGCTCCCTGGTTACCCTCGCCAAGACTGTCGACCAAGCCAAGGCTCTCTTGACATTCGTCGACGCCATTGCCGAGAAGACGCTGCGCAGCACAGTCACCCTGACGGCGGCGAGAGGTCGTGGCAAGTCGGCTGCCATGGGTGTGGCCGTCGCTGCCGCCGTGGCCCACGGATACAGCAACATTTTCATCACGTCGCCCTCGCCAGAGAACTTGAAGACGCTCTTCGAGTTCATCTTCAAGGGTTTTGACGCCCTGGGCTACGCCGACCACGCCGATTACTCGATCATTCAGTCCACGAACCCCGACTTCAACAAGGCGATTGTTCGCGTCAACATCCACAGGCAGCACCGCCAGACCATCCAGTACATCAGGCCGCAGGACGCTCACGTTCTCGGCCAGGCCGAGCTGGTCGTCATCGATGAGGCCGCCGCCATTCCTCTGCCCCTCGTCCGCAAGCTCATGGGTCCCTACCTCGTCTTTATGGCCTCCACCATCAACGGTTACGAGGGTACTGGTCGATCTCTGTCACTGAAGCTGATCAAGCAGCTACGTGAGCAGTCGAGGCCAGGCGCGGCGTCCAACGGCGACACCACCGTCGCTGACCGTTCCACGGGCCGCGCTTCCAAGGAGCAGTCTTCTGGTTTCCAGGCTAGCCGCTCCCTGCGCGAGATCACACTCTCTGAGCCGATTCGTTACGCCAAGGGCGACTCCGTCGAGAAGTGGCTCAACACCCTCCTCTGCCTGGACGCGACCCTGCCCAGGGCCAAGGTCAGCGGCCAGGGCTGCCCTGACCCGTCGCAGTGCGAGCTCCTCCAGGTCAACCGCGATACCCTCTTCTCCTTCCACCCCGTTTCCGAAAAGTTCCTGCAGCAAATGGTCGCGCTGTACGTCGCCAGCCACTACAAGAACTCGCCCGACGATCTGCAGCTGATGAGCGACGCCCCTGCGCACGAGCTCTACGTCCTCGTGCCGCCCGTTTCGGAGGAGAACCAACGCCTTCCTGAGCCCCTGTGTGTCATCCAGGTGTCTCTCGAGGGTAAGATCAGCAGGCAGAGCGTCCTCAACTCGCTGAGCAGGGGCCAGCGGCCGTCTGGTGATCTCATCCCCTGGCTGGTCAGCCAGCAGTTCCAGGATGAGGACTTTGCCTCGCTGTCCGGAGCCCGCGTTGTGCGCATTGCCACGAACCCTGAGTACATGGGCATGGGCTACGGTTCCAAGGCGCTGCAGCTCCTCACAGACTTCTACGAGGGCAAGTTCACGAGCCTGAACGAGGAGGACATTGTCATGGAGGACACCATCACTCGCGTCACGGACGAGGAGCTCGAGAACGCGAACCTCCTCGAGGACAACATTAAGATTCGCGACATCAACAAGATGCCGCCCCTGTTCGCCAAGCTCTCCGAGAAGAAGCCCGAGCTGCTCGACTACATTGGCGTCAGCTACGGCCTCACCCAGGAGCTGCACAAGTTCTGGAAGCGGGCGACCTTCGCGCCCGTGTACCTGCGACAGACGGCCAACGACCTGACTGGCGAGCACACGTGCGTCATGCTGCGACCGCTCGAGAACGGCGGCGACAGGTCTTGGGTCGGTGCCTTCTCTCGCGACTTCCACAAGCGTTTCCTCTCGCTGCTGTCGTACCAGTTCCGCTCTTTCTCGGCCGTCATGGCGCTGAGCATTGACGAGTCGGCGAACCTCGGCGCCAAGCTCGACGAGCAGGAGCCCGCGCCCCTCAACAAGACGGACCTTGACAGGCTCGTGTCGCCGTTCGACCTGAAGCGTCTCGAGTCGTATGCGAACAACATGCTCGACTACCACGTCATCCTCGACCTCATCCCCACCATCTCCAACCTCTACTTCACCGGCCGCCTCAAGTCCGACATTAGGCTCACGGGCGTGCAGCAGGCCATTCTGCTGGCCATCGGCGAGCAGCGCAAGGATCTCGACGTCATCTCGACGGAGCTCTCGCTGCCCTCGCAGCAGCTCCTCGCCATGTTCATCAAGATCCTCCGCAAGGTGACGGCGCACTTCACGGCCCTCGTCTCCAAGGCCGTCGAGGCCGAGCTGCCGCAGAGCAAGTCCCTCGGTGTCAGCCGCGAGAACGCGACGGGCGTGCACGACGACGAGGTCGTCGACCAGCGCTTCCAGCCCCTCGAGACGACGCTCGACGACGAGCTCGAGGAGGGCGGCGACGAGGTCCTGCAGACGCTGCGCAAGAAGCAGCGCGAGCTCATCGACTCGCTGCCGCTCGACGAATACGAGATTGAGGGCGACGCGCCGGCGTGGCAGGAGGCCGAGGCGCAGGTGGCCAAGGGGCCCGCGAGCACCGTCGTCAGCGTCAAGTCCAAGTCGAAGCGCAAGGCTGGCCAGACGGCGGCTGAGGTGTATGACGAGGCTGTCGGGGAGAAGTCGAGGAAGAAGGCCAAGAAGGGCGGCAAGCGCGACAGGTGAGCGAGGGGAGGGGTTTGATCTTGGAAAACCATGTTGTTTCGAGGATGAGACTGTATTTGTTGTCTGCATGACAATTTACGCTCACGTTGTACATATCGGGCAATCGGCGTTTGGGGCGAGGTTTGCATGTTCCAACCAGGTCGGTAGAGTCAAAAAAGTACCAGCATTCACTCAAACGTACAGCAGAGAGGTCTCATCCTATAAAGTGCAAGTTGTTTCATTCTGGCAGGCACCGCGGGAAACCGCTCCTTCCCTGTGCCTTCCAGGTATCTCCTGCCTCACCTGAACAAAGCAACCACCTGCCTCCTGCACCAGACAACTCCTTTGACGCGGACGTGATTCTTCAACACCAGTATTCTTCAACCATAATAGCTCTGTCCACTCCGAGATTCTTTGTTCTTTCACTCCTGCTCGCCGCGAGCTTCAGATTCGTCTCTAGTCTTGTTGAGCCGCTATCCATATCTCTCTACGGGTAGCTCGACGGCAGCAAAAGAAGACGAAACGTCCATCTCACGAAAGTACTCAAGATCGAAGACTTCATTATCTGCACGAGTCCAATCAGACCCTTCAGAGAGCGCAGTCCCACCGCCCGCGCAAAAAGAAAAAAAAATGTGCGTCCAAGACCTCGCCTACTGCATCTACTGCGGCTTCGAGCGCACAATGCACTTCCAGCGCTGCAAGCACTGGATCAAGGCGCTCGCGAGCTACCACAGAGCCTACCCGTCCGACTGCCTCAGCAAGGCGCCGTACCCTCGGGCCCAGGACTGCGGGCACCTCTCGCGCAACCTGAGAATGGCGATCCGGCCCGGCGCCTGCCCGCGAGGACCGCCGCCGCCGCCGCGGGAGGCAGCGGCCGGCGAGGGAAAGAGCGGCAGCCAAGCGGGAGACGACGAAGGCTGCCGCGGCTACGAAGCCGAGGCGCAGCTGAAGGCCATGGGGCGGGGCGAGTGGGAGGCGACCTGGGGGCATCGCGTCTTGCGGTGGGAGATGGGGCTGCAGCAAGTCGAGTTCATGACGCGCCGCGCCGACGACATGCCTGGCGCAGCGCTCGAGGTGCTGAAGCGCGGGAACGGCAGGATGAGCAGGAGGCACGGCACCAGCCTCCCCGCCAAAGAGGACAACGTGATGCGCCGCGCTCAGGGGACCAAGACGGCGCCGCCGGCGGGTTCCTCCGGCGTCGCGTCCAGCCCCACGATGAAGTTCCTCAAGAAGCCGCAGACGACGCATGCCGTCGCGGCCAAGAGTGTGACGGGGCAGATCATCGGCGAACAAAAGACGAGGCGCGTCCAGTGGGCGGGTGCTGCGCAGAAGACAACCGACAAGACAAAGACGGAGCCCGAGGACCGGTTCGAGGAGGATTCGGCGGCGCCCAGCGACCAGCTCGCCGCGCTGGGCGTCAAAGTGCGCACAATTCTGGCCGGGCACGTCAGCTACATCGACCGCGAGAAGGGGAGGATCCGAGGAATGATGGTCCAACATGTTGATCGCCAGAGGGAGAAGGCAACCACCACCCGCTCAGCTGGTCCCAAACGAGTCCGCCACTACAACGGGCCCATGGAGCGGCCTTCGCGGCACAGGGTAGGAGACGATGGGGCACCTGTTATACTGGCATGTGCGCTGCACAAGAAAGGGGACATGAACAAGGACAGACAGGCCGCCCTCAGGGGTTTGGGGTGTGTAATATGAGGCGAACGAGGTTGTGACACCCGGTCTGCATATCGTTAGGAGCGATCATTTGCAAAGATACCCACTGGCCTGCACTGGCCTGCACGACAGCTGTCTACAGCATAGGATGAGGATACGAAACTAAAGAAGGCCTCGTGGTTGGCACGTGGGCTAGCAAGGCTAGCTACCACGATCGAGCAAAATCATAATCGTAATGCAAACACCAATGCCAATCAGCATGAGCGCAAGGTGTGTGACCCATAGTCGAACAAATGACCAGTCACTACAAGCAAGCCACAGAGCGGAGACAACGTCGAACAGACAAAAAATATATGGCAAACCTAGCACTAGACTCATGCCAACGCCGATAATGCTAAGCAGAGCATGACAGAAGCGGAACCACAGACAACGATAAGAGATAACGCCCCTATTTGGAAATATATCCTCCGCAAGAATACTGTCGATCCAGTGGTAGCGAAAGTGGGTGGTATACAACGAGAAAAAGAGAGAGCCGTCCGTGCGCGAACAACCCAGCATGCACTCCTGAAAGTATTTCCAAGAATCCTGACGTCAAGCCAGGACGACGCTCACGGTTGTCGCGGGAGGCCCTGATGAGATCTAGTAGTATGAGATGCGGAGCCTTGCGCTCCAGAGTGTGGTGAAGGTGCCATGTTGGAAGAGGCACGTTTTAAAAACGTCTTTTGGGGACAACGTCGTCAAACAAGCGTCACATATATCCGCTCAGAATCGTGGTGGCGCCACACGGATGTTGCGTGCTTGGCTAGCAGCCCAGTTGTCGCCGGCAGCGTTCGCGCCGGGCTGCCAGTTGTCTACTGACCGGACCATCTTGTCCTTGAATACACGGACCATGGAGTCTGTGTCCACGGGCACGGAGTTGACGATAGGTAGAGAGGTGAGGTCGAGTGCTCGCTTTTGGTTGTTGTTGTTCTTGTTGCTGTTGTTGATCATCACGTAGGCAACAACCGCGCCGACGATGATGAGGATGATGAGGACTACACCCAGTCAGTATGAGGAACAACGGCGCGATCCGGTTGTTTGGTGGATGAAGCTTACCGCAGATACCCAGGCACCACCACTTCTTCTTGCGAGTCTTCCTTGCCGTGTCGACGGCGACGCCAATCTCCTCGTTGCCCTTGTCTAGGTTCTCGGCAACCTCCTCGCCCTTCTGCTCGATCTGGGCGACGGCCGCCTCCTGCTGCACGACAAGGGTGTCCATGTCCTGGAAGAGCTGGGCCAGCTCGACCATCTGCTGTTCGATGCGCTGGATCTCTGCGTGGCGGTCCTGCACAGCGTTGAGGGCAGCACGTGCCTGGCCCTGGCGGCTGCTTTGCATCAGAGCCTGGCTGAAGACCTGGCCGCCGTTGGGGTCCTCGACGGCCTGGCGGACCTCGCTCTCATCCGCATCGGGTCGCACGATGCGGTACTGGCGAGCCATTTGCTCCTGGGTCTTCTTGCGGAAGGTCGATTCGATCTGCTGGTACTGCTGGATGACCTGCTTCAGGCGGCGGTCGACACGGCCGACCTGAGGGCTGTTCTTGGGCGTACGAGAGTCGGGGTTGGACTTGACGACACGGACGCGATCAACGAGAGCGCGGTACATGGTCATGGTCTCGCTGCCAATGCCATCGAGCTGGCGCTTCGCAGGGCTGGCGCCCGATGTGTCGGCGTCGGCGAGAACACGGTCCTGGAGCATGCGCAGCTGGTCCAGATTGCGCTCGACCTCGTCAATGCCAGAGTCGATAGAGCGGCACTCGTTCAGAATGGAGTTGGGGTCGCCCTGTCCAAAACTGCCTGCGTTCTGGGCGAGGGGGGCCATCTCGACGTTCGACCCTGGAACACACGTCAGTAAGCCCATCAGACAAACCGAGGCTTTGATTGTACATGCCGGCACCGTAGGAGTCTTGTCCTTGGCTGTACTGGTTCCTGCCGCCATAGGACTGTGCTGGCGGCGCACCGTAGCCTTGTTGAGGGGCTCCATATCCGCCAGCGTCGTCCCTCTGGTCGAAGGGGTTCTGCCTTCCTCCGTACCTGTAGGTCGATTCGGTCAGCAAGAGTCGCGACTCCGAGGTTGAGGGTGTGGTGGTTATTGGGGGATTGTTAGGGGGTCGTCGGGGAAGCATCAAAAGTTGCTCAATTCGAGGCATCAACGGGGGCGCTCGTGGCGGAGCAGATCTAGACATACCCGTACTGGCTCATGTTGTTAGCGACGAGAAGACCAAGGGGTGCAACAATGCTCGTGATGTGGGTGTGGTGTGTGGATGGTACTCTCGTGGTAAGAGCAAAACAGGAGTGAGAATGTCAGATCGTCGACACCATTCGTCGTAGACAACGTCAGGTACGGGATAGGGAGGGAGGCAGAACACAGGCAAGCGGTGCACTCGAGCAATGACAGCCAAGGACGAATGGAGCAGAGGGGGTGCCATGGTCCATGTTTCTTTCTTGCGGAGCTGTACGGACGAAACACTGGGAGTGCGGGAGATGGGTTGAAACACATACGCTCATTGTGCTTTGCGGAAGCGCGGAGGCTTCTTCCTTGCAAGGTTCTGGTCGGCGGGCGTTTGACGATTGGAGTCGTTCGGAATGCCTCGCAAGAGTCAATGAGGCCGAATATGGTGGAATTCGTGCAGAGCGAGAGCGAGAGAGAGAGAGAGAGAGAGAGAGAGGCAGAGACAGAGAGAGGCAGAGACAGAGACAGAGACAGAGACAGAGACAGAAACAGAAAGAGAGCGAGGTTGAAGGGTCGGTATGCGGGAGGTGGGAATGGATGTTCGAGGTCGGTCTCAGGGATATGGAGCCTTTCTCCTGTGCTGTCCAAAGGGTTGTGCCGAGAGTTGCGAGGGTTGGTGCGGACAATGGCAGTGAAGTAAGGTTAAGTTGGATTGGGCCGGTAGTAATCAAAGCCCCTGACACTGGGTCTGAGGAGGGAAAGGTCAGAAGAGGATCGCCGCCCGGTGTACCAAGTAGTGGCGGCGTAGGGTGGGAGGATTGGTCGAGGGCGCGTGCGCGGGCCTGATCGATTGGAGCGACAGGAGACACAGAAGCGAAGTGAGGATGTCTGCTTTCTGCTTTCAGCCGACTGCGACCTTGTGTTCTTTTGGGCGGGCAGTTGACAAGAGACGACGACAGAAGGAGATTCGCCTGGTCCCTGAGTTGGTCCAGAATCGAAGCAAGATCCAGAAGCAGTCTGCTTGTCGAGCTGCAGATGCAGATGCAGGAGACGGGCCAGGAGTCGTGAGTCGCTCGCGACGGCCTCGAGACGATTGGACCCTGATGCTTGGACAAAGGGCTGGACGCCTCTAAAGCGCGTTGGTTCTGTAACAGACTTGGGGTGAGGGGCGAATCAACATGAGGCAGGCGAGGGCCTGATGCAGGTCCGAGTGGGGCGGGTCGCTCCTGCTTTGCCTTTGGCTGCTTCTCAACCAGCCGATCAGGGGCAAGGACGGTGCCGTTTCTCTTTCCTACCTGTACATACGAATAGTACAAGTACCTTATTAGGTTAGGGAGGCAGGCAGGCAGGCAAGAGGCACTGTGGCTAAGAAAAGCAAGCGCGCCCCGCTCGTATCCGTGCCTCCTTCCTTCTGATGTCAGCAGAGTTCCGATAGATGGGATCACTGGAATCCTCAGTCCATTGGAAGGGGGAGAAAAGGTTCGTTAGCAGCTAATAAAGTAGTTAGGCGCCTAGACTGTCATCGGTACGATCGGGCCCTGGGCGAGGATGCTCTGGTATTCTCTCAAGCGTCAGAGCACTGCATTCGTGACGGCGAGTTCCTCCGTCTTTTATCCTTTCCCTGCCCGAACCTTCGCAGCCTCAGCCCTGCCCGTTTCAACAAGCCCGCCTGCAAGTCTCACCCAACCTGTCGCGCTACTCCTCAGCTCATGCTGGGCCATCCATCCTTGACGAATCGATCTCTCACCGTCGTCTGTTATACTGTCCGTGTCGCCAGCTCAGCCTTCAATACTTCGTCCGTTTCCATCCATCTTGCTCTTTGTCCGCTCGCTCGCTCCATGATCCGGTGTCCATCGCCCGCCTTCCGCTGAAGCGCGGGCCAATGCGGCGCTACGATGTCATTTACATTCTTCGGCGCCAAGCGGCATTAGCTCTTTCGGAGGGGAACCAAGATGACCCCCAAATGACGGATGGCATTAGTCTTAGTCTGCGTGAGCTTGCATGCTACTGACGGTGGTCAACGTCCTAACCTTAAACGATCTCATCGTCGTGACTTTCTGGGCACGCACATGCAATCCATCTTCATCGTGCTCTCATATGGTCCTGTATCATGTTTCCTTTTCCAGATCAACGAAACAGTGGATGTGAGTTTTGAGCATGCCGGATGCGAATTGCTTCTGAGGGCATTCGTCGTGCCGACTCTCTTCAATCACGATGTCTTCTACTGACTGACAATAGTGAGCTGCACTGTGGTATTCCTGATCTAAGCCACGCAAAAACGTCAACGGAATACTTTGAAAACAAGAAAAAGGTTTACCTGAGGACACGTACTTCGGCTCTCAGTTCTGAAAGCGATTCAAACATGGCTGGGCGGCCTCCAGCTATGAATCACCAATTAAGCAAAGGATTGCCGGATCATCTCATAAACGCGACACATAACGCTCAGAAGACGCTTGTCTCTCAAAACACGCATGCTCCTTAGTATGCCTACCAAATAAGCAGCTCTGCAAGCAATCATCGATGTGGCCGGTACTTCTCCGTCCCACCGATATTGTTGAGATCCACACGTCCGGCCGCTGCCGTTGGGTTGAGCGCCGGCGTCAAATCCCTCAGCGGCCCGCGACCGGACCTAGCTCAAGATTTATGACCTTAATCACTCACCAGAAGAAGAAGCTTTGCACCATTTCTCTCATCAACAGATTTCACAGACACCTCTAGGGCACGTCAACACTGGTAACCCAGCATATTCACACCATGGCAAACAGTTTGACACCTGAGCTCACCAGCTACCTGGAGGCGGTCCTCCCCTCCGACTCCCGCGCCGCCCTCCGCACATCCCTCCTTCCATCCCTCATCGACGCCATCCACGCTATATCCAAGACCCTACAGGCCTCTCACCATGTCGCTCTCGTCGGCACCGCCAACGCTTTCGGTGATGACCAGCTCAACGTCGACGTCTCCTGTGAGAACCTCCTCCGCGATGCCCTCGCCCGCTGCCCCTCCGTCACAACCGCCAGCAGCGAGGAGGACCCTATCGAGACGCCCGTTCACACCGGCGCCCCGGCCCCGGCCCCCGACGCAGAGCATACACCGTCGGCTTTGACCTCCTCGGCGGCGGCTCAATCATCTCCCGCAGGTGGCGGGCGGGAACCATCCTGAAATCTGGGACGGGGGACGCTCTCAACGAAAACGCTAACGCCGGCAGTCAAGTCCATCGTAGAGTCTGGAGTGGCGCCGCCGCGAAAGAGTCGCAGCTGCAACCCGAGACGAGACTAGAAGCATACAAAGGGGAGGGGGGACGAGAGAAAAGAGAGGAAGAGCGAA